AGTTTATAATTCAAGTATCATAATTGAAAATACTAGAGAGATGACCAATACCTGATTTTACTATTTTTAACATACCAATAGCTGATGAATGGTTAAATTGATATATAAGACATTTTAGGTTTTGAATCTTTTCATTTGAAAAAACTCCAACAATTGATGAAGGGTCACCCGAACTAGAAACAACTAATTTTTTTACTCTTCTCATTATTTAAAATAACTAGACATAGGGAAAGAACAATACTCTGTAGTTAATTTCAACGAAATAGAAAAGACTCTCTAATCAGCACCAATGGAGGCGGAAAAAGCGGTGCAAGCCTAAAGAAGATCAATGGAAATAGATCTATCTAGAAAGGGATCGGTCAGATCGGCTCAAGCGCATACGAACCAGATCGAAGTGGTCTGGTGCACGGAATGACAAAAACTGGACATCTGGGTGTGCAGAAGGCTAGAATGGCGCTGCGGAGGGGGCTCTAATTGGCAGATGCAGCGCAGCTCTTCTTCTAGCCTTCTGGTGTCAAACAAGCACAAGACCAACAGATCCATTGTCTCTTCCTCTTCAGTCACACAGATCTGTCGCGCTAAGGACAGATCGCTATGCGATTCGTCGCTTCAAATCTGGTTTCACATGGCTATGGCTCTTCAGATCTGTTCTTTGACCATCCACAACGACGCTTCTCTAGTTTCGCCGATCGCCACATGTCTTCCCTTCAAGCCACACACAGATCTGTGTTTTCAATTAGATCTAGTTATCTGATCAGCTAAATCACCACCTCTTCTATCAACCACTGCCGCACATCGGGGAAGATATGTTCTAGTTCTCTCTCTTTCTCTAATCTGGCTTTCTCTCTCTAACCCAAGCTCTGATACTATGCAAATTTTTAAAGAAAAATATTCTCTTTTATTTCTGATACACATTATATTATTATATTTATAGTATATATAGAGAATTTATATCTATAAATAAAGAAATTATTATTTTAATAGAATTTTAATTATAATAAAATTATTATTGTAGTAGAATTCTAATTAATTACATAATCTCCACTAATTAAATAACAAAATATTTTAGTCAATAGAAAGATTTAGAGTATCTAAGCCTAATGATAAAAAGGTTCTCTAACAAGCTCCAAATCCTAATTTCATATAATTCAACACATAACTTGATTCTAAAACTAAAATCATAACAATTTGGTAGCGAAGTAGGTGGTTATGAGAGATCTTAGTACCTTTCCACAACATTATTTTTTCTTCAAACTTACTAGGAGGACCATGTTAGCATGGATGAGAGGCATAACAAGCTCATTGCGCATATTAAGGACATCCCTATAGAGCTCTCATGTGCAAAACCAGTTAGCAATGCACCATCAGAAGGAAGCATAAAATGGCTACAACAAGAACCCCAACAATTTTGTAGAAAGATTTGATATCAGGGGCCACATTCCTAACGGCCCATTGGTTACAGCTTTTGGCTGTATTTTCTGCTGTAGAGAAGCTAAAAGTTACCAAACAGAATTTTCTAAAAGCACTTTTAGCAAAAGTTGAAGCTAGATCAGCTTCTACTGTATATAAACACAGAAGATAAGATTACCTATTTTTTTATAGACTGTTTATGTTTTCAATATTTCATTTCTAAAATTATCCTCATTCAAAGTATTTACTTACATAACTGTGCAAAAACCATGAAACTCCTCATCTTCTTACTAGCAGCGTCCCTCTCTCCCTTTGTCACTGCCGCCATCCTTCACCAAATCCAAAGCCTCACGCAACCATCCCCGCACTTGCTCTCTGTGGTCGCTCTTCCTATTCTCAGCCCGCGCATATTCTGAGTTAATTGAAGTTGATTTATTTGTTTCAGTTTTTACTTGTAATTCTATAGGTCATTTAAAACCTTAATTCTTTTTTCATTTAACTTTTTCTGCTAAAGTTTCTGACTATTAATCTTTGAAACTGGGTTAATCCATTAGAGCTAATGGGAGAACTTTTGGTTAGATTTTCTATTTTGAGACTTTCCTTGAATTGCATGCGAAGTTATGACCGGTAGAAAATTGTTTAATTGAGATTTAATAACAATTTAATGTTCTTATCTTCCCTTATTCAGTATCTCCTTCTTTTTTTGTATCCTTTTTGGACATTTTAGTACCTGTAACTATTTTCACCAAAAGAAATAGCTTCTGTTTAAAAGTGACAGTATGTCTTACAGCTATTTTAACTAAACATAGTACAACTTCTTAACTGAAAGCACTTATACTTAAAAGTTACTTTAACAACAATTTTACTATTCACAGTACAAGCACCAGTTATGCCGAACAAGTCCTAAATTTTCCGAACTTAGTTCCTCGCATCCTGATAGATCTATTAATCTCTTGGTCAGTTAATTAGTTCAACCAATTTTTAGCACGACAGAACTCAATCAATTCCACCTATACATTTCTCAACAAATTTGGTTACTGGCAATGTTTATAAATGATTTTAATACAACCACATGACCATTTGGACTCCAATATACACTGACAGAATTTTCTTGGAGTCTATTGGTTGATAGCAAATTATTTTTGCCACAAAGGGAAAATAATTTACCCATAGATGGTTGAAGACTTAGAGTCTACTTATTTATTCAGACACCGCCATGATCTTAAGGATTCATTATAGCTTTGCCACCATTAAACACTGCAGGGAGATGACTTCCAATTTTCTTATTTTCTATCACTTGAATTTTTGTTCTGGGACACTTGTTTACTCTATGTTGAACCCATTTATCATGTTCGATTATGAGGACTAGCACCTCGTGAAAGAGGCATGCTATAGTTAATGAAAGCCGATACCTTACAAGACTATAGAGCAAGCAACAAACAGTAAGCAAAAAATAAGCAAATGGCCAAAAGAGGCATGCTATAGTTAATGAAAGCCGATACCTTACAAGGCTTTAGAGCAAGCAACAAACAGTTAGCAAAAAATAAGCAAATGGCCAAAAGAGGCATGCTATAGTTAATGAAAGCCGATACCTTACAAGGCTGTAGCGCAAGCAACAAACAGTAAGCAAAAAATAAGCAAATGGCCAAAAGAGGCATGCTATAGTTAATGAAAGCCGATACCTTACAAGGCTGTAGAACAAGCAACAAACAGTAAGCAAAAAATAAGCAAATGGCCAAAAGAGTTGCATTAAGCTCTTTTCCTCTATTTGGTTAGGTTTAGATATGATTTGGGAATTTTCTTTTAATTATATATATAAATAAGTTAATTAAGAGAGTCTAAATCTGGTGGTCATATGTTAGGTTTTAGAAAAAGAGCTAGTTGACTCATTATTATTACTTTTTATAGGGAAAAAAAATTATTATTAAGAGAATGAAAAGTTACATTACAATGACAAAAGAAAAGATATTATCCTAGAGCCTTCTTGAAAAAGAAACCCAAATCATGATATAGTTACAACTAGTCAACATTCAGTAATATCATCGTCACCCCAATTCCTATGTAACGTAGAAATAGAAGTATCAAAAAATTTCACACTCCTAAATAGTTACATGTTTACTTCGTGTTTGCTATTGAAGAAATTGATCGTGCACATAGTTTGTTGAATTTTTATAAGAAAACAAGAATCAAGATTTTATATTATCCATCACTTCAAAACTCGTGGAAGAGTTTTCTCCAATTAAGGAAGAATGATGCAGGATGGATTACCTTTAGATTTCCTAAACGGATTATAAATTATAAGTTTATTAAATCTAAAATTATTATAGTATTTAGGAACTTATTATTATTATAACTTTAATAATTTCAGGATTTTATTCTTATTAGTATTTCATTTTTCTATTTATTTAATATTTGTCATTTGTATTAGGATTAATATTCCTATTTTATTAGAAGTAGTATTCCTAAATCAGTTTTGATATTTTCTAATCTAGTTGGAAAATACTTAACTAACATTCTATGAACATTGTTATAACCTCTTTAAGAGCAACATTCACTTATTCAACAAAATAGTTTGAAACTATATCAATTTTTTGTTCTAAAATACAATCACACTCTTAAGTTTGATGATTAAGATTTTTTAGACGTGATGTCTAAAAAATCTTGGGTTTGACATATAAGACCTCAAATCCTTAATTGGACAAATCAACTATTTTTATCCTATGTCATTATTCAACTCTCGTAGGTGAATAAGTACTCACCTTGGGGTGGACAGTCTCTTACTGTACTCATAAAAGAATTATCTTCCGAGCATTGGGTAAAATAGGACAAGGGGTCTTACTCACTCATTTTTCTATTCTAACCATCATATCATACATAGCCTAAGGAAGAAGAAGGTGCCCTCCAAACGAAATAAAAACAAATAGAAAAACTGTGTTAATTTTAGAAAGCATCATAATCCCTTTGTAGTATGCATAAAGGAATCCTCCTTGAATAATCATGATTATAGCCCTAAGAAAAGCCAAAAGTTCACCGTCTTCACCCAAATGTCACAAAATGATTGAGATTGTTGCTTAAATACTCAGTTTTTCTCAAACCAAAAGGACCTATGATCCAGCAAACATAGCCAGTCCTTAAAGCATTATGATCCTTCCTCCACTTGAAACCACAAAAGGAAATACAAATTAAATCTTTGAGTCAGGAAATGCTCACGAGCGTAATTGTATCCTACAAGCCATCCCATGAACAAATTATTACTATATTTCGAGCTGTAAAGAAAAACAGTTCTTATTGTCTTTTTGTCCTAGAAGAGACTTGCACATCACTGAATTTAATGGTAGGTGTTACTTTAAAATCTCTTTAACCAGAATTTCAATTGATGCTCTGCTCGAATTGAGGGAAGATGGAGGTATGACAGGAAATTGAGATTTCTTGAAAACCTACTTGTGTGAAAATTTCAATCATTTTCTCCGACTCACTCAAGCTTTTCAATAAACAGATGTGTCATGTTTATTTCCACATCAAACAAGTTTCTATGCTGGACAACCTTTTTCGTCTTGCCAATACTGTAATAGGTGTAGTTAAAGGCTAACCTACTTAGTTACAGAAAGAAGCTTGTGATCCTAACACAAATACACACTACTTCCGCAACAAGACAATTTCTCAAAGTTAGCTTAATGATAATTACTAGGTTACTTCAGGGTTTTTACATTATAAATAAATCTAATAGATTCCTATAGCTTTTAGACACCAAAAGGAAACCTCAAATAACCGTATAAGACATCTATGTATTTCACAAAATATGAAGAATTTGGTATTGTCATGAATGTAATGTCAACTATGTTCTTGCACGCATATGCAATATTGTATCTTTGACATTAGGGAATAAAGAGAGCATGTCAGATCATATCTCACTGAACTTGCAAAGAAAGTAAAATTGAAAAGAAAAATAAACGAAAGCTAAAGACAGTTTAACGTGCAGGAATAGATCAAAACTGCTTCATGGCTTATTTTGAGGCAGCACTAAGCAGTAAGAAGCAGAAGTATACTTTTAACTAAAAAGCATTAAGGCAAAGAGGTAACAATTGACCTTTGAAAAGAATTTTTGCGCATGGCTTCGGATCTGCACAGCGGTCTTTGTTCCTATGTGTTCTACACATAACCACCAAAAAACAAAGAAGAAAGAGAGGACACAGATGCCCAATTATGAGAAATTAAAAAAAAAAAAAGGACTTCATGTAATTCCAAATGGGAATATCGAGTGAAGTCAGTTCCAGAAATGTCAAGGAAAAATTTAAATTTGCGTCATCAACCATAATTTACTGTGGTCAGACAACAACAAACAAGGATAACAGATACCAGTCCAACAGAAAATAGCAAAGAGTTAAAAGGTACAAGAAAATTATAACCTTCTATGCGCTGCCAAGCTCTTCCATAGAGTTTCAAGGCTTCCAAGAACCGACTGTGCTCCTCCTCTGTCCATCGTTCACGTTGCTTTGTGATTGTATATGGCTTTCTTGTCTGTTACATAAGGAAAACTCATAATTCCCCCCATAAGCAAAGATTAAAAAAATTAAGACAAAACGGAGCCTCTAAATTATATTACCTTAATAATCAATTCTTCTCCAGAGGAGTAGGTGTCCATCACCGGACCTGGGCAGCTGACGCTGCTTCAAATCCACTATAACCAGAAGCGGGTAAAACATATATCTTCTTTCATTTCTTGCGACATCGAATACTATAAACGATAAAGCCGTCGTGGTTATAGAAATTGATAATGCCTGATAAATGAATATTACTGCAAAAGAAAAAGCAACAACAATCGATAGAGATCCGTCTCTTTTTTTATCAGCAGTGCATAATGAAGCACTCCAATTCACATACACTGCCACTTCGAGAATTATAATAAACATAAACCAGATATATTCATGTATATAATAACTGAAAATAAATCCTACAAAATTTTTTTGAATCCACCGCAACGCACAGAAGAGAGACGCTTCTCCGAAAGAACTTAACAGAAAATTCCTTTATTCAGAATCCTCACGAAAACGAACCCGTAGATGCCAAAACCTTTAGAATGTGAAGAAAAAAAAGGCAAAGAAAAAGAGAAAAACTTATATCAGTAACCAACCACCAAGTCTACATCCATCTTCGGATAAAGCTTCAATACGTTATCAGTTCTAAATAAAGAAAATTTAACTCCATATTCGGTTGCCGATAAAATTTACAAGCACCGAAGAAGTTCAACTTTACCAAGCAATAAAATCAGCTTAGCTGGAGGAGAGTTGACAGACAAAACGAAAATCTAAATTTCATTTCGTTTTCCTTGAATTTTCTCAGCAACCAAACATAGAGCAGAAGGTGAAATCCCTAGAAACGGAAGAGAGTAGCTTTGAAAATAAGCCATGGAAGTTTACAAGTTAGGAAGCAGCGATCAAGCAGAAGATGATGCATGAACTGAATTCATCGGAAACTCACTGGACAAATCACAGTTTGTAACAATGGAGGATCAAAGAGCCGATTGCAAAAACTACATGAAGAGGAATGAGAAAACAAGATGAGGAAAGTAGCAAAAGAGAAGAACATAGAGGTTAGACAGTGCTTGGCGTTAGACGTAAATTACCAGAAACTACAGTTTGGAGACAACGGAGTAATCTCAGCCACTATAATTTGTTATGGATTTATTTTTCCAAAAAGGAATTGGGGATTTTATTTGAGGCTGCAAAAGATCGAAGTTAACCTGGGCAGCGAAGAAGAGAGACGAGAAGGCGCGGATCGCAGGACGATGCCAAGTGGCAATAATTTAGTGGCTGATTAGCTTAAAGCCCACCCTTTCGCTTTTTCCTCAGTTTCCTTTCTTTTCCTATTGGTCTCGTCTTCAAATCTCAGCCACAAGTTTCCATACGATGAGGTTATGTACGTAAAAGCGCTTCCAGACTGTGTCTGGTGGGGTCCCACACTGCGTGGCCCGTTTTAGATACCGGTCTTGTCCGGTCACCTCCGTAAGGACATAGATTAAAGAGGTCGACGTTGCGCCAGCGTGGCAGGAAAACCGGTATCTGGCGGTTACTAGGAAAAGCGGAGCCCGGTAATGTTTGGTTCAGACAGTACCGAGCATGCGGGTCGTGCGATGCCGCAAAGGAGGGGTTTTGTTTGTTTGACCTGGTCAGCTAGAGTCAAACCTATAGTTTTGTGATGTACAGTGATCTTCTTCTTCAATCTGAACCATACATCAAGACTGGCCCTCTAAGTGGATCTAGACGTGCTTTGCATCCATGGCAAAGGCCTTTGTATGAATTAAAGACTAGGAATTTGGTATCCAACACTTGTACAATACCAAACACTAGCTTTGTTATGTTATTGTGCCACGTCTACATCTCTAGAAGTTTCACCTCACACATTCATTCATTTGTTTTTTTTTTTTTTTTTTTGGTTTCGGAATTCTGTCTAAATTATAAATTTTTTTTAAATGCAATTTTCTTAAATAACAAAGTAATATATACCATTACACATTTGCATTTCCTAAATTATTACTCCGCCATCTTATTTAACAATAAGATCATATACCCTCAATAAATTATTAATTATAATTTTTATTAATATTTAATTATATAATTATATAAAATACATTTGTAAAACTCTTAATTTCTCAATTCTGAGTTGAATCATTCATTAAATAAGGAGATGAGCATCAAAAATACATTTTTTTAGAAAGTTAGTGGTTATTCTTTATACTTATAAATGGTGTTTTATGAACAAAATTAATGAGAGAAATAGAAACAGGATGGAGGACTTTCATCATGTATTGCGACTTTGTAACTGAGGAAAATGATAAAAGATAAGAAATCAGGGAGATGTGGTGTGAAAATTATTGCTTTTGTTGAGATTAAAAAGCATGGAGAAATTTCTTACAAAGACATCAAAAGCCTTTTTATGAAATTTAATTCTCAAAATGTACACAGTTACAGAAAATAAAGAACATAATAAGAAAAAACAAAAAATTTAATATGATTCAATAAGTATATCTATATTTACATGTAAGATTAAAAAAAATTACTATGAAAATTGAGAGTACATCATCAATAAAGTTGTAAACTTTTATATATAAAAATTATGAGAATTTTTCTCCTAAAATATTTTTTATGATAAATATAAAATATTTTTCAAGATATACATAAAATATCCCTCAAGATATAAATACGATATCCTTAAAATGAAGTCATATCAATAAATTTTCATATTGACTTGAATTATCTCTATCAACAAAGAAAGTGAATGTCCTCTCATAATGTCTTGCCAAAATGCGCTAATAGAAGCACTATTGAGTAATATAAACTCCAATCAAGTTTAGATAGTGTCTAAACTTATTAACTGGGATCGTATTTGTTATCATATCTGCAGGATTCTTGTGTGTAGACATGTTCTGCACAACTTTAGCATAATGTGATGTAAATACCCAAAACTTAATGGAAAATGATATATTAAATTAGTAAAATAATAGCGGAAGCAATTATGAATTTAGGGTTTATATTCCTTACACAGTAAATTAGGATGCGCAATAGGGTTACGGAAATATCTCTTTAACGAACTAAAAATAACAAAAATAAAGAAAATATAATTAAAGTCCTATAGGGTTAACCTTCGCTAGACAATTCTGGTAGAAAGTGGGAGGCAAATTTTTAGTCGCAACATTCTTACTGTTCACGATCTAAATCTTGGTCTTTTTGATATGAAATAGTTAAATAAGGGGGATGAGCTACACTAGACCAGTAAGAATGTTAACGCTTAACACCGATATGTAAAATCAGATATTGGTAAAAATCATTAAAACAACTAATGGAGTCATTTTCTTTCTTAAATAAATTTATTTAATACAAAACGTGACTTTCATATCTACCATTTTTAAGTTTCCAAAAATGATTCATGAAAGCAATAACTATGATAGAAATTTATTGTATATTTAAAGAAACAATAACAATAAACTTATATTTTTACTTACTTACTAATACCTTTAGGAGTCCATAGGGATTCTCCCTACGCGTAGACCTAATATCTAATTTATCAATTAACCGGTCATCCTCATACCATGTCCAATAATGAGCGCTAAACATAATACCGCTTTGATACCTATCCGGTATGAGAGTGAACCATAACTCCCAACTCCTTCCGGTATAAAACTTTTCAATCCCGTTTGACTGAAGTAATGTCCACGGTAAGGTTTTTTCTATGTATCGGGTCCGTACATCATTACCCAAGATACCCGATAAACATTTTATATACATCTCCATACCATTAACTAGTCACCAATTACAGACAACCGTTTTATATTTATATATCAGTAATATAGCATGCAAATAGATAATACAAACAATCAAGAAAATGTGATTAAGGCATTTACTTCGAATCAATCAATAGCTAAGAATGACAGTCAAACAATCAATAAACGAGAAAGTGATTAAAATCAATAAAAAATACCAATTTATGCAGTATAAGAATAAATGACAACACAGCTAAGACAATTATACATTGAACGGTTCTAGCTTCACTAGTGACCTGTAATTAATTTAAATATATCTAATTTTTATAAAACACACCGTTATTAATTATTAAACTTTAATTTACTATAACGGGAGAAAATGGTGAAATATTCTTATCCTCTGTCGGTGTTCGAGACACTGCCTTTTTCACTGCGCTTCGTGGAGATTCTCGAGTTTTCTGGATTTTTTCTGCGAAAATCAAAACACACGTCACGTATTCTAAGATACCCCAAAAGATCTAAGCTTTCTGGCGAGTTTAGGGTTTTGGCACGGCGGCGCCGTCGTACTCCTACGCCGGCTTCGCCGTCCATAGCGTAGTCTCCTCTTGGCCTAGTCGTTTTTGGCCAGTTGTGGCCGGTGTTACATAAAAACTTGCAAACAATAGGGTTAAGTGGCCTTTGTTAGCCGAAAAAGGAAAAAACTGAACCCTTATCGGTGAGGGAAGAGGGGGGGGGGGGTTTCCTAGTGTAGCGAGTTTGTCGTTTCTCTCTCGCGGTCGGGAGTTCTCTTCGGTTAACCTGCACCCAAAAAAAATGAGGAACACAAGGGTGTGAAGAAAACAGGAAATAGA